GGCAGAGATTGGATATTTGGGAGGATATGGGCGAAATTGCAGTGAAGGTTTTCAAAGAAGTTGGTGATTGAGTATGTCACATAATGAAGAGGCAAGATCCATGTGGCCAAGCTCTAAAGAATCAATTCTTTTTTAAAAAATAAAATAAAAAAGGGTTTAATTTTAATTTTAATTTTTTTGGGTTTTTGATGGACAGATGGATAAAGAAATTTCCAGGAAAACGTTGAGAGGTATAAACAACCATATCCACAGCCATGGCTTGCGCAATGTTTGGTAGCTGTTTTTGTTTGCATTAAGTTATGAGAGGTGAACTTGTTGACCTGATCATCTCCATATTTTGCCATATCTTTTCCTAGATATGCATGTCTGTAATTGTACATGCGTCAAACATATATACTGAAGCGATCCAAATGCCTTTTTAGGATTTGGTTTTACTTTGGGATTGTGTATTGTTATTTTGTGTGGAGATTAATTTCCACCTTTTCCTTTTGGTCTCCCTTGTGGGGGCACCAATCACCATTAGTAAAGTGGTTGTGTCACGCTCTTAAACCAAGGTTAGTGACGTCGAGGCTCGTTTAAAAACTTAAACCTGTTTGAGAGAGTTAGTAGCAAAATAATTTAATTTCTTTCAAATCCAAAACATCCAGGTATTTCCAAACGAGCCCCTGCATTCAAGAGAAATTTAATTTCAAGAACGGTGGTGGAATTTCCAACCAAACCAGTTTAAAACCACGTCTCTGATATCATGTCAGGAATTCCCACATGTGTTTAGCATACATGAATATAAGCAAGAGTAAATGTGACATCAACCACAGTCTAGTAATATTTAAGTTTACAATCCATAATCTTTTATATATATGCCTTAAAATAAAAGATAAGAGGAAAGACAACTCTTCTCTTTCCGGGGTCAAGTCCACATCACCGGTAGTAGCTACCTACTCCGTACTACTCCTCGCGTCTCCTGGAGGGGTTTAATACATTTGAAAATAAGAAAGGTGAGCGAAAGGCCCAGTAGGATAAAATTTTATAAAGCATTTAAAATAAAGGTACTCACGGTTCGAATATATACACCCGGAACCGATCATCCCTTTTTAGAAAAGGAAATACTCACATAATAGAAAATATCTGTATAATGGAAGTGTGCAGCTCATCATACCACTAAGCAAGAAGCGGTAAAAATGTCTGTCTATGAAAAGTGCAGAGCCATAATTCCACTAAACAAGAAGTGGATATGTACGAGTTTCGGGACCTGCCTCCAAGGATGCGATTCCCACATCCCGATCTCTGTGGCCACCATGCGTTGTATCATTCCTTAAATATTTCATTTTAAGAAATGATACTCTTTAAAATCTCATCCAAAATCATTGGAAAACCTAATAGCATTCACATGCTATTTCTTT